ATTAATATAAATTATAATAATTAGGCTATCTTTATAGATAAATAGAGAATAATTAAGCTATATAGGCTTAAAGCTAAGACTTTAAAGTATTTTATAAAAGGTTATATACTAAATCTATAGGGCTTACTTTAGCCTATATAGGGACTTTAATAGCTTTTATACTTTTATAAAGTATTCTTCTTAATATCCTTTAGGTATTTTAATATAGACTTTAGTATTTATAAAACTATAAAAAAAGGTAGTCTTAATATCTATTTACTTAACCTTAAGGTCTAAGGTAGTTATAATTACTAGTAGTAGGTATAGTATTAAAATTTTTAGTATATTTATAAATATTTTATAGTAATTAAGTCCTTTATATTAATTAAAACCTTTTACTATATATTAAGATTTCTAATAGATAACCTTATTATTAGTACCTCTTTTAAGTTTATATACTTACTTACTTAAAAGAATAGTCTTATTTTTAGGCCTATTAATTATAATTATAATATAGTTCTTTATTAAAGAGTTATACTTATTTACTATTAAGCCTTTCTACTTTTATAAATTAGGGTAGAGGATAGCTTACTTATATATTATAAGTTCTTTATTATAGATAAGGTTACTAAATATAGTAAGGTTTATTATATTATTAAAATTAAAATAAAGTATATATTAGTAGTTTTAGGATATTAAGACTAATCTAATTAGAATTTTAATCTATATTATAAGTCTTTCTTCTTACTTAATAGTATTATTTAGAGTTAAGGATAAGGGTATTTTAAAGAGGTTAGATAATATCTTATTAATATTAATAGTAAAGATAGGATATAAGGTTAATTAAATATCTAATAATATTAATTTAAATTTATTATTATTTAATATATATAGATAACTAATAAAGTTATTATTATTAGCTAGATTATAAATATTATTATCTTTATTAGTAATTCCTAATACTACTAATATAGAGGATATAGAGGGTATTATTTACTTAGGCCTTATAGTTAAGGTAATAGGTATACTATAGTGTTTTACTATAAAGCTCCTATTAGTAAATAAGTTATAAGTAATTAGAGTAATTTCTATATACTTTTATCTTCTACTAATTACCTATTAACTTAAAGAGTAGTATATAGTTTTACTTTTATAGCCTAAGGTAAGGTTATTCTACTAAAGAAGGTTATATTTAAAATCTTTAAATAGCTAATTAGGCTATTCTTAAAAGATAATATTATTAATAACTACTAGTCTATTAAGTCTATTAGTATTTAAAATAATATAGTTAGTTTAGCCTTTATATTTAATTAAAATATATAGAATAGTTTTAGAAACTATTTTTAAAATATAATAAGAGGTCTTTTATTACTTATAATTACCTATAATTTATAAATAACTAAGATTAGGTTTATTTTTAAACTATAGTTTATAAGGAGTTATTAGTTTATTATTCTTTATTATAAGGGTATATTATTAAAGAGTAGTATAGGCTTATACTATAACTAGCTAGAATTTAATTAGTACTTTTAACTAATATATAGTAAAAAAAAGCTTATCTTATAGTATTCTATTCTTAACCTTAATAATACTATTCTATTAATACTAATTAGTAATAGAATACTATAGGTATATACTTAAGGAAATATAAGAGTTTTTAAACTAGGTTATAATATTCTCCCCTCCTTAATCTAGCTAGATAAAGTAGTATTTATATTCTAAATATTTTTATATCTTTAGGAAATTTAGTATTATATTAGGTAGCTAAGATTTCTTTTTAATAGGGAATAGCTAGTATATTCTAGTATAATTAT